GAAAAGTACTGCACCCAAATCTCGAGTCCTAACATAATCATGATTAAGTCGCTTCTCTTCCGAGCAGGATGTTAAACAAAGCAAACAACAGTTTGAGGTGAATGTGACACAAGTCAGCCACTAAAAGGTCTTAAATGATTAAACAGAAAGGGATGCAAGATAATATTGCTGTGCCAAATTCTAATTTTCAGGGGGACTGTAGGACCTAAGGTGATCTTAGGACATTTGAAAATGTTACTGTTAAATGTCTTGATATTAATAGGGCAAAATTTGAATTCAAAATCAGGCATTTCATCAGGGTGAGATGTCAACTTGTAAAAATAGTCCACATGGGACTTGTGTATAAAATGGTACATTTAATTATTTTTGTTATGTTTTGTAATGTAAATCATTTGCGTGTGAATGTTGTCTTGATTTTTGTGACTACATAGCAAGCACACACATGTACTTCACACACCTTATGAACATACATACAATGTGCCACTGAGACATGATGCAGACTCACTTAATGTTCCATCAAATGCAGACCCATTTTTACAAAATTTGTTTCCCACTGCGGTCACAAACTCAGGTGCTAATTGCTATGAGCACAGAAAAGGTTGATAACGAAATATTCCTGTCATGGTGGAAGATTTGCACATCTCTCACAGCAAATAGCAACTTTTAATTTTCTCAGCAACTGCCATGCTGCCAGACTGGCTGGGTGTTACATAAATCTGGTATTTTTAGCACAGAACTGTACCTGTTAATATTCTCAACAATTAAACAGCTTTGCATTCAGCCGAGTCGTTATCAGTGAACATGTTGGGTGTCACAGCTGAGAACGTCACATGCTAGGCAGTGGAACACACTCGTTCACTCTTACATAGGATTTATTTTCCATTGAGTTTTCCTTCAAATGAATGTACCTCTGTTCATTTTAGATACAAGGTAAATGATAGTGTTAATGTATGATTCATGCTGTGCATACTCACAAGTTATTTCTATAGTGAGCAGACTTTTCTTATCTGTTTCCTGTTGAGATAATTAGATCATTTGGTGCGGTGCAGCCCATGTACTGTAGCTACTTTGCAGTCTTTCTCTGTGTGTCTGTATATATGATCCCTTATTTTGGAGGAAATTAGTTAAGGGAAGCAGGATATAGAATAGAGCAGTACACCTGGCAAAAGAAACTCCTTAATTAATTAATGAATTCAAGTCCTTAATTAGTAGATCAGTTTTTCATTACAATAACACAACAACACAATGACTTAAATTATAGCGCCGCAGACCCCTTGTGGTTTTAATTTCACTGAACAAGGTATTAAAATATTAAAAGTGTTTACAGGGATGCCTGTAGACCTACATAGAGAAGTATTTGCACTTATCAGTGAGCCTTTTTGTTACATTTTCTGTCTTTTATCCCCTAAGTAATCTCAGTGTGTAGTATGTTATGCATTTTTAGGCAATCTTTTAAAAGGAAGTCCATTCCCTGATTACTTATGTTCCATTACTATGTTTTCCATTTCATGATTGCACTTGCTCCCATGCTAAGGCTCACTTAGGGAATCATGTTAAGGTCCTGGTACTGAAGTGAAGTGAAGTGAAGTACCTCAGCGACTCTGGCCTTTACCCTTCAAGAATGCATTTCAAACTAAACTCAGACAAGTATGGATGAGGCTGCTGTAGATGAGACCACAAACAAACGCCATGTACCAAACAAAGAGGAAAAACATGCCTCTTTCTTTTTTAATTTTCACCAAAATGAAGACAAGCTGTGTCTCTTAACAGCAATGCTTTAGCGGTTAGTTAACAAAAATGTCAACATACGTTACCATTTTATACAAGCAGATAATTAATGTGTGATGTTGGATGTTAATCAAACACCAACTTTGGAAAGCTGGTGCCAACTTTAGAAAAAGACATCAAAAGATTTCATACATATGGCTATTACACCACCTTCCACTATGTATTTTATTTGTCTTTCCAGTTGTTTTTTCCAGATGTGCTTCCATTTCATTTTGTGCATGGCATCACCAACTAAACTAAACAACTGACCATTTCTAGTTTGCATTTGGTTTGCTTTAAGTATGTGTAGCGTTGCCACTTTTTTAGTGTGAACACTTTAACAAGTCCTCCAACCTAAATAACCATATCGGTTGCTTGCTCCTCTGATACGGCCCATAGGAGCTTCTCCTTATTGGACCTCTGTTGTCATGGTTACTATGATAAAGACACAGTTAAGGTTATGGTTGATTAAAAGGACCAACAATGTCTGCTAAAAGGAAACAAACAGCACTGCCTGTTTTAAGTCCTGTGTTTTCTAGATCCACCCAACCTGACCTCCTCCATCTGTGGACTTGGTCTTTATACTACACTGCCTGATTTTCTCCTTGTTCCCATCATAATTAGTGCGGCAGCTGCAGGTCACCTAACAATAAAACTTAACTACAGGTCATAATAAATTTCTTTCAGATATGACCTCTAGTGTTGTTTTTTAGGGGAGGACGGGCACCATTACATACTAAAACCTGCTTAGAATCAGTGTGAATGGAATAGGGACAGAGCGACAGTTTCAATCCAAGGTGAAACATGGACATGCAGAGATGCACCATGAAACTAAATAAAACAAACTATTAATAGCATATAACAAAAGCATATTGCTAGTTGTGAAGGTCAAGGATGATACAGAATAAAAACACTTAAAAATAAAACTTGTTTTCATGGTAGCCATGACCTGCCCAGACTTTGACAACAGACTGCTCTGCTACATTACTGATATTCTGTTTTAGTAGATGGAGTATTACTCATTATACAACCCAAACATTTTTACTTGAATATATTCTGTGCATTCACCCATCGCTCCTCTTTGCATTTCATAAAATAAAAATCTGTTATACCTGGTTTTAAAAACCAGAAGAAAAAGGCTGTGCCTAGAATTCTAATATGTATTCTTTCTTTGCATTAACTGTAATCTGTTTGCCAGAGACACTTGAGTTTACATATTTTTACCTAAATAAATGAGCAGGGCAACAGCTTTGTTCATTTTGGGGAGGAAGTTACCTGAAGTCAGATGTTATCTGGGGTTATCTGTGTGTTTATGTCCTACAGGTCTGTTGTCTGTGATAATGATACAGTGCATATGGCAAAAAGACATCTAGAGAACAAACAGTGCTGTTTTTCATTAGGCCCATGTTTCACTGAGAGCACCTTCTCATTTTGTCCAGAAACACAAAAACATGAAGGCAGATCCTCATCAAAAAAGCGCATGATGTATTATTACCAGGAAACACCCCTGCTGTCTGTTTGGTGAATCACTGTAGCCATAGGGATGAAAAACTCCATTTTCACAAACACAGTTTACCTATTACAAAAACTGAAATGGTGCCATCTCTGAATACAGCATCCTCTGTTGAGAAACACAACAACAAACGGCAAAAAATCTCTTAACATATTATGGCCACTCACGAAGGCTTCAAGGTTTAGTTGACCTATTTATTTCTCTATATAAATTTCTTATGTAACATTTCTCTTTAACACACAGTAAAATATTTGGACCATCTTCCAAATCAGGGGGAGACACGGAAGGCTGCCATGATGCAACTCCTCGCATTTATGAAATATTACTTATACAATAGCTACTACTATGTACCCTGCAGCAGTGGAACATTCAGTTTTCAGTCTCCAAAGAAAGGCAGGTTGTTGGATGGCAGTCAGGCCTCTCTTTGAAATTCTGGTTATAATTTCTGCTTTTCTCACGTTCGTCCCATCGTCAGCGATTAGACAGAAGGAGCCAGAGAAGAACAATTAAAAGCAGTGGTGGCGTAGGTACTCAGGTTGTTTACTTAATTAAAAGTAGCAATACCACAGTGTAAAAATACCCTGTTACAAGTAAAAGTCCTGCTTTCCAATGGTTAAGCAAATGTATAAAGGTATTAGCATAAAAATATACTTAAAGTACCAAAAATAAAAGTACTCATTGTACAGAATAGCAGAGTTTATGTTAAAGTGCTGTGTATCATATTATTGGATTATAATTATTGATGTATTATTGTGTTAATGTAAATTACCTTATATGCTTGCCAGTACTAACAGTACTACATACTGGAACAATAAAATCTTATGATTATACTGTATTTTGTTTTATTAATCCAATTAAGAAAAGTAACTAGTAACTAATGTTATCAAATAAATGTAGTTAGTACAATTTTTCTCTGAAATGTATAAAGTAGCAGAAAATACTCAAAGTACAGATACTGTACCTAAAAACTGTACTTGAGTAAATATACTCACTTTCCACCTCCGATTAAAAGTCATGCTAAAAACCACAAAGCAAACCAGAAAGTTATCAAAGAGTCGGATCTAAATTTTGATAACCACGACAAGACGATTACAAAATCAGCCTAATAGCATCTTTAAAACATATCAAGGACTTGTAACAGCAGGATTTAGAGCTTCCACACTGTTACCCTCAGTAGGCTCGACTACTGTAATAGTGTCTTTACGGACTGATCTGACAGTTGCAGTTGAATGGCTCTGTACTGTATATCACAATCATCTGTAACAGCTCTGCTTTACCATCCTGAGTCAAAGCTGAACATGGAGACACAGTTTTCGGTGTTTATGCACCACATATCTGGAGCCAACCTGAGGTCTGCTCTAACTCTCATTTTGTTTAAATGAAGATTTAATGCTTTTCTGTTTGTCACTGTCTCTAATTAAATAAAATTTGGGACTGTCTATTCATATCTTGCACTGTAGCTGCAATGTAATTTGTATTCTTCTCTTTACTCCGTCTTACACTATTTTAGCCTGTTTCTATCTTCTAATTCATTTTTCTCTTTTGCAAATACTCTGTGTATTTTTATATTTGTTTCTTTTATGTCTTGGTTTAATTCTTTTATGTAAAACACTTTGAACTGCCTTGTTGTTGAAAGGTGCTGCACAAATACTTTGCCTTGTCTTTAAAGAATATAAGCTGCTTCAACATTATAATATTATCAATGTTCCTTCCTTTGCAGATACCCCAGGTGAGCTATGCCTCCACAGCTCCAGAGCTCAGTGACAACACCCGCTATGACTTCTTCTCTCGCGTGGTGCCTCCAGACACCTACCAGGCCCAGGCCATGGTGGACATTGTCAAGGCCATGCGCTGGAACTACGTCTCCACAGTGGCCTCAGAGGGGAACTATGGCGAGAGTGGTGTTGACGCTTTCATTCAGAAGTCTCGGGAGGACGGTGAGTACATGCAGCCTCATATATCATTACTTCCTGCCTAGCACCGTGGCGTGGGACAGTGTTATCCATGCAAATGTACTGTAGAAAAACAGTAAAGCTTGGAGACGTGTAAGCAACAATCAGTTACTGAGGCCAAATGCTAAATTTGATCCCAGAGTGTACAGATAGTCAGAGTTCTAACAGTTCAGTGTCAGACTTAAATATGTAACATCATGGGCTTTAAAACAAAACTGGAAGTCTGTTTGTTAGAGCTACACATTTGGTTCTGGTGTGAATGGCATTGATGTTCCATTCAGTTATACATAGAATGTGTAATGTGAATGTGTTGCTGTTGAACCCACTGAGATTTAACACCCGGCACTGCAGCCCCGCACAAAGAACAAGTTAACACCTTGTTTTAGTTTGAGCACTACTTTCACAAATTCAAAAAATGGATTCAAACCCCTCACACACTCTTCTGTTGTACCCTTCTGATACAATTGTGTAAAGATTTAATCCCAAAAACAACACAAAAGATGCCAAAACCCATACAAACAAATTCACACTGCTCATAGCCTTAAATGCAATCAGGTACTTGATGTACATGTATGGAAAAAATCTAAATGTGCACTCCAGAGTTACATGCCACATGCACTTCACAGCTACTGCACAACATGAACGTGAAGAACAGGTGGTTAAAAGATTATTCTTGTTACAGCTGTACAGTTTAAAGTGGAGGCTTTCCTGTCACATGACGACTGAAACATTTGGGCTTATTGTGTCTGGCGAAGCAGGGTGCTAGTGTCTTTATACCCATTGTTTTGATTCACTATATTGAGTGTAGACTGTATTTTTGATTGCTGTGGCTCTCATCACCCGAGCCACAAATATAAAACTGCAAGCAGCCGTTTCCAGACAAACTCAGACAAGCAAAATGAAAACTGCCTGAACAAAAACAGCACTGAGCCAAATTAAACTAGTGTTTGCTTAAGTTGAGTAGTTGGCAGGCGTTTACTGGGGAGTTCCCAGGGAGTGAGAGTTTTGGTTAACTAAGCACTAGCATAATTAAAAGGATAAGACTTTAAGGTGCCCTGGCCATGTCTGCAGTTTCACTGTGCCTTGACATAATGAGACCAGCTTGACTGTGGTTGCTCATCAATTATGTCTGTCACTCTCTGAACCCTTAATTGTCTGGACACAAGTCAGGGATACCTCAGGAATAGAAAATACAGTAAGTCCTGCTGGGTAAAACATCATATCAGGGATCATATCAGGGTTGAAAAATCAGAAAATGCATGTCTCTGCAAATTGTTTACAAGTTCGAAGGGGGTTTTGACGGAAGCTTTGTTCATGTGATTAGAACTCAGTAGAGTACACAGTATTACTTAACTTGAGGTGCAGTTATTTGCCCGTGCCACACATTAGAAAATGGAGTGTCACACATACTATTGCATAGTTTTGAATAAGGGGCTGTTAAAGTTCACATTCAGTGCAATGCTATAGACTAAAGACAATCTATAGCAGTTTTAAATGATCATCATTATAGGATGATGCATTTCCTTTATAGGTAGTGGACACAATTGAGCTCAAAGAGTATGACGTGTGAATCCATGAGGGGTATATGTTGCTTAATTTTTCTAGTTTCCAAATCATGGAATTTTTTGCTGTCTGATAAAAGGATCAGAATCATATGCACATCACTAACAAAGAAGCAATGCATGCACTCAAATTTATTACAGGAAATAAACATCATTTTGGTCCTATATGGCACGTTTAAACATTTTAATCAAGTTTAGTCAGGAGATATTCCTGTTTTACACAATAGATTGCTGATGGTCTTTTTTTGTTTGTTTTGGAGGGGGACTTTTAGCCTTTGTCATTTTATAGTGAATTGTGGAGGGGCGGAGCAGAAATGGGAGAGACAGAGAGAGATTGGGGAAGACCTCAGACAAATGTCAGCAGTCGGTCTCAATCCATCAATGACCAGTGACGTGTGGTCAGGGGAGGCAGGTGAGGCAGAGCCT